TAATTACGTGTTAGCTCTCTGTGTTCAAACATTACCATTAGCTTATTTTTCTGAGCTGAACCTGTTGAGTCAAAAAGTTTGCATTGGAGGAGAGGCATATAGCAATGGGGGTTTCTTGTAATGGTTCTCCAAATTAAAGTGATAGACATATGTCCCAGTCTACCCAGAGGAGGTATGTGCAATACTTTTCCAGGGTTGAAAGGCAGAAAGAAGCTGTGACATTTTTGACAATGAAGAGAGCAAGAAGTGAAAAACGGAATCCTCGGCCCTCTGCGGTTTCTGGCTCTGCCCCCACGTGGGACTCCTGCCCTGAGCCTCTTCTTGCCTTCACTTCACTAAAGATTCACCCAGGACACTGTGCCCTCATGGGGTTGTGGGTGGCGTGGCCCGTGATGGCGCTGGGCTGGGACAGCGGCCTACAACTCCTTCATCCTGCTCTTGGCTGGAACTCAGAGCACATACGCTCTCGAACATAACTATCATGCGTGATGATTAGGTGTGTGGTGTTATTCTGTGATCTCCTGCATATTTTAGACAAAATGTTTAGGCCTGAGGACCTAAGTATTATGGGGGGAGTATTAATAACATGAATGTAAAACCCTGTGTAAGGAAGCTACAACTCTGAACTGCCTCGTATATAATTTCATATATTCTCTTTATTTTGTTCCATATTTCCCCATAGTCATAGTGGGGATTGAATATATGTTTTTGTCAAAATTTTCAATGCCCTGGGGAGGAAAACATACTGTAAATCTGCTCAAATACAACAGATCTCCTCAAGTGATCATGTTACAGCAGCTAACCTAAAACAAGGAAGTGTAAAATTGTATAGCAGTTAGGATCCCACTTGAATTTTCGCATTAGACAGATCAAGATTCTGGTGTGTAGGGGCTCTCGTTGTGAGAAATTACCTAGTATCTCAGCTGTCACCTTCTCACAAGCAGAACCAAGTACTCCATAGTCTCCACTCTAGGTTTTTGGGGACGGCTGAAGTACGTACACACACACCGCATGCTAGTTCTTCTGCAATTCTATCATGATAAACAGTTGGCAGATTAACTTCTGTCTATGTTGAATGCTTACTGCTTTGAGGATTATTCTAATAATTAATTGCTGATAAAATGAGCCGGTGATGACAACTCAATGCTCATTAAAGAACTATTGGGGAAAAGGACACATTTGTAAACTCTTCTGAAGTCAGTTTCTCTGGATGTAAACACACCATGGGGAAACGATATTTATTGCTGATGCCAGTTGGATGAGAGCATGCTGGGCCTTGCATAAAGAAATGACAATTAATAGGCATTTAGCAACGCATTGAGCGAGCGCCGTTTCAATCTCACTTTGTTACCAGTATTTTCGCTTTTTAAGAGCAGCCTAGCAATGGAAGCCTTGGCAATGGCGTGGTGTGCATCAGTCACACGTCTAGAATGGCCACTGCGTTCTATTTTTATGGCAGAGAGATCCTCTGGATGGAGAAGCAGTGCTTGCTGATGGTGGCTCGGGGCAGTCCCACAAGTGGCAAAGCGGAAGTCATCATGGAAGATGCGGAAATCACTGAATGAATGTTAGCTTGAAGTCACAACCTAAATTTTAATGCAACAGTTTTTCCTACAGGAAAGATTTCTTAAAAGTCTGTCTCTGTCTCTGTCTCTGTCTCTGTCTCTGTCTCTGTCTGTCTGTCTGTGTCTCTCCCCCCCCATTTTCCCAAACGGAAACTTTGGTGGGGTTGTTCCTCCTTCAGTCCTGCTGTTCAGTGAAGTCATGGTTGATCATGTATATAATACTTCGGAATTTAAATGTCTTAACGGTACATAATGAAAACTTAAAATTTTTAGCTTTTTACACTTTCCTAATTAAATGTGTGATGCAGACACAAGAGTAAATTTGTATGACTAGAGTTGGAAGCACAGGAACAGATATAGATGTATGAACCAACTATTTCAAAATTGGTCAGCTGGAAAAATGGTATTCTGTTCTATAACAAGACAAAAATTTAGTGGAAGAAATAAAAATAGGGAAAAATGGTTAAGGGAAAGAAAATATGCACCTTGAGACCATGCTCCTAAGGGAAACACATTGGACTCCTGTGTAAATAGCACATTCTTTCTCTGGCAGGAGAAAATGAAGGTCCAAATGGACCAGAATGTATACTAAGTGTTGTGAAACAGGAAGAAAATATATAATTAGGAGAAGGATTTTTTGGTTTTTGGCCAGTAGAGGCTGCCTTACAGGTGGGCGTGGTGCAGCTGGCGGATCTGGGGCTCGAACCGCGGTCCCCGGTGTCTGACTGCGTTTACCCAAGTGGCGCTTTAAACAATTGAGCTAACCAGCAAGGCCCCAAAATGTTCAATTAGGGATGGAAGAAGACAGGGATGGGGGAAGGGAAAGAAGGGAGAAGTAAAAAATAATGAGAAAAGAAGGAAAAATGGAAACAAAACTTTTGTAAATGGGGAGGGGAGAGGGGGCTGAAGGGAGGACAGGAAGTGGAAACAAAGAAGCAGGCTGTGTCCTGTACAGGGGAAAAATCCCTGTGATGACGTGGTCACTATGCGTACCCACAATGTGCCTGGGACGAGTCACAGTGAAGAGGGATGGAGTGGGGAGGGGACGGAAAGAGTTAAGATGAATCACGGATTGTGTCCATGCACCGACTGCTATGAGGAATGTGCCGTCGCGTGCTGCCAACGTGCTAATGAAGATTAAGCAAAGACCGTGCTACACGTTCTGCACCTAGTGATAGGCAGACCTAAGCAAAAAGCCACAAGGAGAACGGTGAAAGAAATTTAGAAATTTACTTAAAGTATTTAAACTTCAATGAGATAGACACAAAATCAAAAGGAAACAACAAGCCATGAAAAACTGTGCAATATAGAAATTGTATTAGAGAATGTCAATATCTTTTAATATTTTAAGTCTTGAAAAATCAGTGAGCAAAACTGACTTCATTTCTCTCCAATAGGGCAAAAGAGCACAAAGATCAAAACAAATTTCAATAAACATATAAATTATTCAACCCCATAAATAAGATGATGAATACAGGATGTACAGAATGAAGTTCTAGTTAATAGTAATTGACAAAATATTCAAAGTGATATTTTCTTGACTGGAGACTTTCCTATATCAAGGTTTAAATTGGCACATTCTGCACGGAATGCTTTTTGGCAAAAGCATTCATGGCTTAAAATACATTGCCCCTACTTCCTAGTCAGAAACTGACCAGAGAAGTATGCACATAATTTACACGTTTGGGCATAACTGTATTTAAAACAAAAATTTTGAAATAAATCAAACACAGCGTAGCTGTAGTTTAAATTAGTGCATTTTTACTGGATGCCTACAGTACGTGAAGGTCCTGCAGGTGCTCACACCATTGCTAGAATCATGGGCTGTCATTGTGAGGCGAAAATTATGTGTTTGAAGAATAATCGTGTGAAGAAAAGTGCATAATCCAGTATTGTAAGAGGAAAAGTAAAGATCTGGGTCTTTCTCTCTCCCTGCTTCCCTCCCTCTGTCTGCCTTTCTCTGTAGCTCTCTCTCTATATCTCTGTTTCTCTATGTAGCCTCTGTCTCTCTTTTGTCTGTCTCTCTGTTGGTTTGCCTGTCTGTCTCTCTGTCTGTCTGTCTGCTTATCTGTGTCTGTCTGTGTCTGTCTGTCTGTCTGTCTATCTAAATATCAAAAGACTTAAAGGAAATATCATATATCAAATTTTAACTGTGAGGCTCTTGGGAATGATATATAGATGGGATTACTATTTTCTCCTATTTAAAACATTTTTTCATTAGGTAAAAAGCATAGTTATTAATTAATTTAACATATGTCAAAATTATCAACATCACCTATATCCAAGTACCAATTGTGTATTTGCATCTGGTCAGAAAATGACCAGAGAAGTGTCCATGTAATTTATACAGGTTTGGGCATAACTGTATTTAAAACATAAAATTAGAAAATACTGACTGTAATACATTATTATCACTGGGCTCTGCTGCTGCTAGGTCGGAAGGGTCCTGATGTACAGCTGTGAGTAAGGGGTCAGCAGTTCAGTGGGGCTGGGCACTGGGCGCTGGGCACTGGGCGCTGGAGGCTGGGGCGGTGGGAAAGGGGAAGTCCACATTCCCGTCCTAGAAAAACGCGTGTGTGTGTGTGTGTGTGTGCGTGTGCACGAGCGCGTGCGTGCGGGTGAGGGTGCTGCTGCTCCTGTGCAACCCCGAGAACCCGCGATAGAAATCCCAGGCCTTCAATTTGTCTTTGAAACGAGCACAGGGAACCAGTTCACCGAGCGGGAGACTGCGACAGGCAGTGCCGGTGCTTTCGCCTCCGGGGCACAGAGCATCCCCGAGGTCCTGGTTTTCGGGGCCAGTGCACCAGGGGTGTCTACACTCCAAATCCTGGGCAGTGCCTGTGACTGCAGGTCTAGAACTCAGGGCCCTCAAGTGGCTGATCCTATTTTCAAAAACTAGAAACTAAGCTTAATTCTTAATAACTGAACTTACAACTGTCCTATGCCTGAGTAGCTTTTCCATAAGGTGCAGCATGTATTAAGTATTTGGCTCTTAAATGTCAATTCCTTGCCTTAAGGGCAGGATGCTGAGGAAGGAAGAGTGGGAAGCGTAGGCCTGAATCCCCGTTGTTTACCACTTGATCTTAGCCAAAAGGCCGAGAAGCGATTCACAGTTATTTATCATTCATCGCTTTGAATAAAAGTTGTGCCTATCGTAGGTTAAAAGTGCTGAAGTTTTCAAAGCTTCAGGAGATAAGTATCAGAAGTTGCCTTCTACTAGGAGTACAAATCGGGCCCATAAATGTGTAATCCTGAACAGGCAGCAGGCGAGCAGGAAGTTTCTGAGATTGGCAATCCCAGCTCCCACTCACTCCTGCGAGGAATAACGCCCAGAAGGCCCCTGCAGCTCGCGGAGGCCCGCGCTCTGCAGCCCGGCGGCGAGCCGTGCCCCGCCGCGTCCCGCCCGCGCGCCCCACGACTGTGGAGGCCACTTACTTTCACTGATCATCTCCAGGGAGGGCAGGAAGTACTCGTCACAGACGACAGCCACCGCGAGGAACATGTAGAGGATGAGGAGGATGCAGATGACGATGCCGCCGTCCGCACGCTCCTGGGGCGTGAAGAAGCCCTCGGGAAAGTCGGAGGAGGGCGACAGAGCGCACTGGGTGCCGTTTCCTAGTCAGGAAAGAAAGGCGACAGCTTGAAGGCCGTTGGAGTCACACACACAAGCTCACCGGGAGCCTTCCCTTAAGCCTGGTGCATCCGGGCGGAATTTTAGGGCGCTAGTGAGAGCGTCTAAGACACTTCTGAGAGTGGTGCGATTGTGGAGCTGTAAAGCACCCAGCCTTTTGGAGCGGAAGGAGAGGTTTTAATGAAACAAATGATGAGCGGAGAATTAAAAAGAGGAAATTTTTAAATCGCTTTTCATTTCTCTGTCTA